ACGTAAGGTCCTGGGCCGACGCCCTCGGCCCGGACCGGACGCTGTGGCTGCCGACGTCCGCGGACGACGCCGCGGGCCTCGTCTTCGCGTTCCTGGGCCTCGGGGCGACGGGCGCGGCGCCGTCGCGCGCGGGCAGCGACAACGCGCGCGCGTACCGCGACCCGGCGAGCGCGAAATTCTTCGCGGCGCGCGCCGGGGCGGCCTGGCGCTGCGACGACGCGGCCCTCGAGGCCTTCTACCGGCCGCTCGACGCGGAGCTCCTGCCGGAGCTCGCGCGGTCCCGGGCCTTCGCGGCGCCCGCCGTCGCCGCCGCCTGGCGCCGGGACGCCTGGTTCTGCGCCCGCGTCGGGTCCTGTGGTCGTAAGGGGGAGCTGTGATTGCTCCACGGACTGCTCGAGAGCTCTCGGATGCTACCTTGAAGGGCAACTTGTCGGCAAGCTCGCTTGTCGGGCGCTGGTTCGGCGCCGTCGTCGCTGTGCGCGCCCGAGCCGCGCGACGCGTCCGCGCCGCGACCCGCCGCCGCGACCGCGACCCGCCGCGCGTTCGACCATGGACGAGCAGCGCGCGCTGCTCGACCAGTTGATGGGCTCGCAGCGCGACGTGCCCGACGAGCTCAAGCGCGAGGTCCACTTCTACGACCGGGAGATCGACAAGTTCTGGCTTTTGGGCGTCCAGCCCTTCGACCTCTTCAAGAACACGATCTGGGCGCCGAAGCTGCCCGTGTTCCACCGCATGGCCCTCGGCTACGAGTGGGAGAAGCGCGAGCAGCCGCTGAGCGTGCTCGCCGAGTGGGACGCGCTCGACGCCGGCGCGCGCGCGGCCTACGGCTACGAGCGCGACCTCTACAGGTTCCTGGAGGTGCTCGTCGAGGCCTGCGACAAGGCCGTGAAGCGCGCGCGCGACGCGCACTACGCGCGGGCCACGGAGGTCACGGGCGCGGACGCGAAGCGCGCCGTCGACATGGACCGGAGGATCGCCGAGCTCGAGCGGGAGGCCGAGGCCTGCGGCGAGGCCGGCGACGTCGACGGGTCCCTGGCGAGGATGGCGGAGATCGACGCCGTCAACGCCCAGAAGGCCGAGCTCGTGAAGCCGCCGGACGCGGCGCTGAAGAAGGTCCTCGTCTGTGTGGAAATCAAATCTTCAATGTGCGCGTAATCGAACGGATTGTGCAAGACTCTTCTGCCGTGCTTGGAGAACTCGACGAGAGCCATCGATTCGTCCAAAAATCAGCCGAATCGACTGCGATGTGATCGAGCTAGAGAGTTCTGAAGTTTGGTGGGGACCCCCCAAACCAGTGGTTGATTTCCACACAGGTCCTCGTCTGCGAGGTGTCTTCGAACGTCGTCCAGAACACGGAGGTCCGCATCCAGGAGCACTACAGCGGCCGCCTCTACCACAGCTGGAAGAAGGTGCGCGACCGCCTCCTCGAGTACCGGCTGAAATACGAGCGCAAGGCCGACGACGCGCGGCCCCCCGCGGCCGAGGACGAGCGGCCGCCGCGGCCGGCGGGCCGCGACGACGCGCCGCGGCCGCCGCGGCCGCCGCGGCGCCACCGGTCGCGGAGCCGCGACCGGAGCCGGCGGGAGCGCCGGTCGCGGAGCCGCGACCGGAGCCGCCGCGACGGCCGCCGGAGCCGCGACCGGAGCCGCGACGACCGCCGCGACGACCGGCGCCGCGACGACCGGCGCGACGACCGGCGGGAGG